GGGAGGCTGAGGCAGAAGGATTGCTTGAGCCCAGGAGTTTGAGGTTGCTGTGAGCTAGGCTGATGCCACAGCACTCTAGCTTGGGCAGCAGAGCGAGACTGTGTCTCAAAAAAAAAAAAAAAAAAAAGAGACGACAAAAGGGAGATAGAAGATGGAAATGAAATAGTCCAAAGGATTATTAAAGGTTTTATTTTTATTCTTTTCATATTTTCACTAAAAACTTTTATACAATGACATATGTTAATTTTATAACTAAGAAAATAAAAGTATTTTTAAAAAACATGAAATCTGAAAGAAAAGAAAGATATTAAAAGTCTACTCCAAACCTTATTCAGAGTAACTGAGGATAGTTTAGTCATCTTCATTTAGGGACTTTACATCAGGAAAAAGACTCATTTTTAACCCATTGCTGCCTTATTATCCGGTATTAGTGGGGAAAGTTATTTCACATAACAGATTTTCAGATAAAGATTCTTTTAAATGACTTCTAAAAATTTAAAGTTTCAAAGTGAACACTTTTTAAAAACAATAATTTATATACTATATATACATAGTTAAAAGACTTTTACATCACTTATGAAAAGAAGTTTTCTGACCCTATCCCCAAAATAAACCTAATTCTTGCTTCCCAGGAAAAATCATTTTTACTTTTATAGACATTTCATCTGGCACTAAAGCTTTTTAGTCATACACTCCCCCAACACACATGTACACACAAGAGTCTCTCTCATGTTCTTATTATTTAATCATGTTGTTTAAAATAATTTTTGGCTTTTACTTAATGTAAGCTTATAAATGTCATTCATAGCTGAGTAGGCAGAGAATTATGATTAAATTCCTTTCTTCGGCAACTTCTTATAATTCTCTAGAGCTGATAAATACCACTTTTTTTAGTTTGCTCTGTTTCTTGTGTGCGTATCACCAATTCATCCCCAAACTATTCTATCGATTTCAATTTTTCCTTGGAGGCAATCTCTCCTAGAGCCCTTCTTCTTTTTCCAATTTAGAATGGTTGCATTTTCTAGTCCTCCTGCATGGCTATCTATTGGAATAAAATTAACCCTCATCTTGGAAATTTTTCTTTTTCTGTATTGGATTCTCTGTTTCCTGACTCTCATTGTCTTCCTCTTTTTCAGTTTACTCCTTAGTTTTGATTGTGCATACCTTTCAGTTGCTTTCTGAGAAAGAGAGGCGGGAGGGAGAACTTGTTTTGGATGTTTGATTTACTGAGGTTTAATTTAAATTCAGAAAAATTCACCTTTTTAGCTGTATAGTTCAATGCATTTTGAAATCCAGTAATATAACACTACCACAATAAAGATACAGAACATTTTCATCACTCTGGAAAGTTCCCTTGTGTCCCTTTGTAGTCAATCCCTTCCTCACCTCCAGCCCTGGGGCAACTACTCATCTGAGTTCTGTCCGTTAAAGGTTTGCCTTTTCCAGAATGGCATATAAATGGAGTTATACAGTACTTATCCAGATACCTTTTGTATCTGGCCACTTTCAGTCAGCATAATACATTTGAGATTCACCCACATTATTGTATATACAATTCTTTATCCACAATTTCTTTATGCACTCACTGGCTGATGGATATTTGGGGTTATTTCCAGTTTTTGGTGATCACGGACAAAGACCATATATAGGTCTCTGCATGGACATGTTTCATTTCTCTTGGGTAAATATCTAGGAGTGGAACAGTTGGGTCCTATCTCAAGTGTTTGTTTAACTTCTTAAGAAACTACCAAACTGTTTTCAAAGTAGTTATACCATTTTGCAGCAACATATGAGAGTACCTGTTGTTCTGCATCCTTAAAAGGACTTGGTATTGTCATTTTTTTGGTTGTTGCTTTTTGGGTTTTTTCTTTTTCATTTTAGCAATTCTAAAAGGTACAGGATAAGGGAAGTAAATTTTTTGAGTCTTGGAAATTTAAAAACTTGGTCTAGCCTTATATCTAATAGTTTGCCTGGATTGAGAATTCTACATTAGACATTATTTTCTCACAGAATATTAAAGGGATTATTCCATTGTCTTCTAGTTCTACTGTTGCTAGGAAGTTTAATGCTATTTGGATGGCCAATCTTTGTATGTTGTTTTGTCCCTTAAGAAGCTTTGAGGAACTTCTGTCTATACCCAGTGTTCTGAAATTTCACTATCATAGGCCTTGGTATGAGTCATTTTTCATTTCTTGTCCTGGGTGCTCAGTGGGCCCTCTCACTCTAGAATGTTACATCATTTGCTTCTGGGAAATTTCTCTTCGTTTTTTCTGTGTTTTCTCTCTCTCTCTCTTTTCGTTTTTTTTTTGAGATAGGGTCTGGCTCTGTTGCCCAGGCTGGAGTGCAGCGGCATGATCATAGCTCACTGCAACCTCAAAGTGATCCTGCTGCCTCAGCCTTCTGAGTAGCTAGAAATACAGGTACGTGCCACTGTGCTCAGCCAATTAAAAATAATTTTTTTTTTGTAGAGATAGGGTGTCACTATTGCCCAGGCTGGTCTTGAACTCTTGGCCTCAAGCAATCCTCCTGGCTGGACTCCCAAAGTACTAGGATTATAGGTGTGAGCCATTGCGCCTGGCCATTTTCTCTATGTGTTCTTTCTGGAACTCCCACTTGTTAATTGTTGGGCTAACTGGGTTAATATTATCTTTTCTCTTCAATTTTTCATCTCTGTTCTACATGCTGGGCAATTTCATCAAGCTATGTTCTAATTATGCTGCTGGATTTTAAATTTCTACTTTCATTTCTTATTTTCCAAAAGCTTTTCTCTCTGAATTTTCCTTTTTTAGGCTCTCATTACTGTCTCATAGAATGCAACATCTCTTATCTCTCTAAGAATATGAATGGGTTTCTTTAAGTGTTGTTCTTCCTATTTTGTGTTTTCCAATTTCCTTTTTTTTCTGTTTGCTTTGGTCTGTTTTTCTCAAATGTCTGGTTATTCTTGACTGGCCATTCATATTTGACAGTGAAGTACTAAGAAAGATAATTACACATTCTGTGTGCATGGACTGAGCTTTGTCAAATTGTGGGTTTCACTGTAGAGTGATTCGGCAGAGGTCTGGTTGATTAAATAAGGATATCCGCTCCCCACCCCCACAACCAGTTATCTACAGTCCTTTTCTCTAGGTTTTCCAGGGAGAAGATTCTGTTACCCTTTTTGGAGGATCAGGGCCAGGTGGGAGTGGGGATGGGAAATAAGTCTGGCTACTTAAAAGGAAGAGAGCTCCAAGTCTTAGAGATTAGTACACAGACTTTTAGTTAATCCCCTTGAAAACATATGGCACTTTGTTCTCATTTGGGCATGGTGTCCACAGTGCACTCAGGTCCATAGTGCCTCACATTCAACTGCTCTGGAGAATATACCACCAGTCTTTTGTTGGAGTAGAGCAGGTCTAAAAGCTCCTTAAGTAGACTTTTAACCAATTCTTCCATATTTACCTCTGATCTGTACCTGGCCTTGAGTAATGCTTGGTACACCTCCTGTTGTGTGGGTTTTACTGGAGCTCTGAAGTACAAATAAACTCATCCCTTGGGCACTGCCACCCTCCACCCCCAATTTCACAACAGGCACTCAGATTTCCACTTTCCAGACTTACACAATTATCACTGTTTTTGTCTTCATGGATTTATAGAGTTTCTTCCCCTTTTTGTTGTCATTTTAGTGGAGTGTTGTGAGGAACCTGTCAAATGTGTAGTCAATCCCCCATATTATTTTGATGCAAGGATTTTAAAGACGTATTATACATGTATATGCCTTTTTCCTGGATAGAATTTAATTTCCTTTGGTAATTCAGAGTCATCCCTATGAACACCGATTATTACACTGGACATGGTAATGACCTCGGGGACTACTGAGAAATGAAGGGCAGTTAAGATCCAGATTGATGTGGTTTGTCCATTATTTATGTTTGCCTTTTATGGTACTTCTCATTCCTCCCTTGCTATTACGGCAAAGTGTGTTCCAACAGCCCAACAGCAGCCCTGCAACAAAAGAGACACATCTGCTGGATGTTGGGAGTATCTGTGCACAAGAAAATGGAAGAGACCCAAGGGGATATAGGAGGAACACTGACAGCATCTGCTACCATTTGCCTATGAATAAAGTTTAGATGCTTAAGAGCATGGAGTTTTATAGAGAGTGTTATTGCAGATAAAAGAGTTAGGCAAAATTTGGTTTC